AGAAAGAAAATATCAATACTTCGCTTTATCACTAACAAATCGGCCTTAGCCATGGACAAGCGAATTCGCAATATTACTTCCTTCTACTTATAAAACAAAAGACAAAACGAAAACAAACGGACTGGTCATGGACTGTAAAATCAGAAACATTTTCTTTTTAGGGGCTTAAACATTTTAACACATTGCCTGGACTATTAAACTTTAAAGATACGAAAAAATTTGACCTATATTTTTCGTACTACAGCTGATTTAAAACTTAATAATTGTATAAACACAAAGGAAAAAAAGCAACTTTATACGAAGGTCATAGTTTGTCCATGAAATAAAACATTTTAAACGTAAACAAATTCATTTCTCAAACATGAAATGTTTACTTTAGACGAATTTGGAAATAAACAGACGACTATCTTACCATTCAAAATACGACGAAAAAGAAAATCGCATGGCAAGCATTGGCGAATGATTATGTCATTCTAAATACGTATTATTTAATTCACAAAGGATAGACGTATACACAATATTTCTACTTAATTTTACGAAGACTGAACACAACAGAAAATGGAAATCGTAGCAGTTAACTTGGGATAGGAATAGACTTGATTTAACTAAAAACTGGATAAAACAAATACACAATATAACTAAAAAAACGGCTCGAAACAAACTCAATGAACTTCACATACAGGGTGGGACAAAAATACTGAAACAATGTTTGGATAAAAGCAAAATACACAATGTAACTAAAACCTAGGCAAAACTAAACAGCACCTCTAATCACGAGTATTATATTTGTCATCATTCAGATACCAGACAGGAAACACATAAATGGCTTAGGACAAGGGACAAAGGACAGAACACATCTATACTCATCAGCTCAAAGAAAAGTCACTCAAACAATAAACACATTTACTCGAAATAACCGGACAAAACAATGTTACAAAAAAACTATTATTCTGTAAAGTGTGTCAAATTAATCAAAAATAAATGTAACAATAACGGTATAATTTGTTACTGTAAATAACTTAAAATTCTTCTCAATATCCAAACATTATTTAAAATTCATATTTAAATATTCAACTCAAAATATTTGCTGTCATTTACCAACACACATAAAATACATATAGAAATATTTCTACAGTACACGAAATAAAAGAAACAACATTACATATGTCAATATAAAACAAATACATATGTTGATATACAATAATACATATGTTAATACAAATACAATACATAAAAAACAACAATACATATGTTGATACAAAATAACATATATCAATAAAAATAGATAAACAAACTGTTTGTGGGACACCGGGGAACTATTCGAAAGACAGGGTTTCATATAAATGGCAGAAAACTAGGGAAAACATTGAAAAAGATATGTGGCTTCGGGAAAATGGACAAAAATCTAGAAAATGCTAGTCACGTTGGGCGCTATTTTTGTAACGAAGTTATTATCCCTACCACACGAGGTAAGATTATGGGGTAAAAAATTGAGGTACTGAAACTATGGGGGTGAAGATAAGGCAAGCAAAATAAACAAAACATATGCGAACGGCACTCAGGGTTTGGTAGGAGAGCTGGGGTCGTAGATAAGTGAAAGATAAGGGGGTTGGAATTGGAGCAACTACAAAAAAATGAAATAAAGGGGTACTTATACAAATCTCTTGGGACAAGCAGAACAGACAAACACTGAAATAACAAAACACAAAGAAAATTAAAACGTAAAAGATTCCATTACTACCATGTGAAAAAATTATAACGCGACTTCGAACAAAACATTAAAAGAAAATGCCGAGAAAGTAACATCTCTAAAATATAAACAAAGTCTAAAATGGTTTTTATTACTTGGCGACGCTGAAAAGAAATAAATATTATTTGGGTTTTAAATTAAACGATACGAGCGAAAGATACATTTAAAGATTTTTCAAACATATATGAGGGGATTTCAATATATTACATATACGAGGGGATTTCAATATACCCAAAAAAAATCAATGAAATTGTAAATGCTACAAGAGTAGTGTATCGGCAAATACAAAATTAACCCAATAAAAAAACACGTTCCCTGGTAGAATGACTTATGCAAAACAGCAAACAGATTCCGAAAATCTCGCACTCTGGCTGACTTAATGAATTTCAAAAGGCTCAGAGCAAAAATAATTAAAAACAGTAAACAACATTCATGGAATCATTTTACCAGCTCTATTACCAAAGATACCTCATCGACTCAAGTATGGTGAAAAATTAAGAGAATAAAAGGACACATAACGAAATTGATGCTACTTAAAAATGTGCAATACTTATCATCCCATTAATATACCTTTTAGTTTCCAAGAACTAAACGATACCTTTTTCGACAAAAAGCTCAGCTGCAGGCCCTGACGATATTTCCTCTATCTTTTTAAAAAACATTCACCAAAATACATACTTACAAGAAAATACTCCAACTGTTCAACAAAATTTAGTCTTCCCAAAAATTCCCGTCAATATGGAAACAATCCCTAACGATTCCTATCAAAAATGGCGATCAATCCCTAGACACGCTAAACTCATACAGGCCAATCTGTCTCACCTGTACATTACGTAAACTTCTAGAAAAAATGGTTAATAAAAGATTACTTTGGTACCTCAAACAAAATAAAATCCTCGACCAATTTCAATCAGGCTTCAGACCAAATCGATGCACCATGGACAATCTTGTACTTCTGCAATCAACAATTGCGACTGCGCAATCTAACAAAAATGAAGTCATTGCAATCTCCAGTGACATCGAAAGCGCTTTTGACACTATATCGATTTATTTGATACTAAAAAAACTAAACCAGAACAAGCTATCCGGTAATACATATTCGTTTATAAAAAATTTTCTCACAGAGCGATCCTTTAAAGTAATTACTAATGGCCAAACTTCCTCACAACACACAACCACAAACGGTGTCCCACAAGGGTCTGTCCTAAGCAGTACACTATTTCTCCTTAGTAAACCTGTGCAATACGTAATATATGCCGACGACATAATATTTTTCTGTCATGGAAAGGTCACATCCAGCACAAATACTTCATTACAAAACACGTTAAGTAAAATAAACAACTGGGCCAGTCAATCCGGCCTTAACTTTTCTCATCCAAATCCAAAGTTATTCATTTTATCAAATGACAAAATACGCAATCTTCAACCATTACTCCGAATGGAAATTTTTTCCAAGTAGTAGACCAAATAAAGATTCTCGGAATTATTTTCGATAAAAAACTTTTCTGAAGACCCCACACTCGACAACTTAAGGGTATCTGCCTTCAAAGAATGAATCGCCTTAAATCACTAGCTCATTGTAGTTGGGGAGCCGATGAGAAAACACTACTAAAAATATATCGCTCTCTTATTTGCTTCAAACTTGACTATGGTAGTGTTCTCTAAATGTCATCAAATAAATCACTACTACGTTCACTTAATGTAGTCCAAAATACTTCCCTTCGACATTGTTTAGGAGCATTCCGATCGAGTCCGGTGGAAAGCATTCATGTAGAATGTTTCGAACCTTCGCTTCATCTAAGACGACAACAACTTCTACTGCTGTATTTCGCTAGAGTTTCGGCAAATCCCACAAATTGCACAAGAAACCTCATCAGCAATAGACAGTTATCAGTTACTAATAATCGTAGAATTGTACCGTTCACTATACAGATGTTAATTCCTTATTTAGATATCAATCTGTTGTCGACCAGCCCTTTCACGGTCCCTCAAACCCCTCCATGGATATGTAAACTTCCAAATTTTAATATCGAATTATCCAAATATAATAAGAATGAAATATCACCTTCTATTATCAAACAAAGATTCTATGAAATACTACATCAATGCAACTTCGATAAGATCCTTTACTCAGACGCATCTAAGACTGAAGAAGGTGTTGGCTGTGCTGTTACAACGACTACAACCACCGTCAACTTGTTTCGACTCTCCAGCAATTGCAGTATTTATACTGCTGAACTATATGGAATACTACAAGCGGTGAAAACTCCACTCAATGATGATAAAACTATAGCAATCTGTACGGACTCTCTGTCCTCCATGCAGTCCATAAGAAACGTACATTCTATCCACCCAATAGTTCAAGAAATCCAAAGTATATGTAATCGTCTTCAAACTAATGGAATTACAGTAACAATATTGTGGGTCCCATCACACTTTGGTATTCCAGGTAACGAAAAAGCTGATCAAGCAGCAAAACAAGCATGTTCTCTTAACGTACAAACAGACATTACATCATCAGATCTAAAAAGAACAATCAAACATAAATAACTGAAATAATAAACCTTTGGAATAATCAATGAAAAAGAAGCAATACCAAGTTAAGCGTTCTACAACCAAACATTTTCTACCACCAGCTCTCACCAATGAAAAGAAAGGACAAATCTATCATTCGAAGATTGAGAATAGGGCACATACGCCTTACACATGGACACCTAATGAATTCCAGTAGTCAGATTTTGTGCCAGTACTGCAACACCACGACTTCCGTAACACATGTACTTCTTGACTGTCAATACTACCTAGCTGCCAGAAGAAAATGTAATCTTGGTAATAACCTAATAGACATACTTATCTTAAACAGCAACAACTACGAAAATGTATTAAATTAAAAAAAAACACACAAAGTTATACAATTTAATTTAAAACAATATGTATTATAAAAAATGTTTGGTAATTAATTTGTACCCAATGTAAAGTATTAACTATGTAAACATGAATGTAAATTGTACCTGTGTCAATGACCATTAGGTGTCGAGACACATATTTTCAAAAAAAAAAGTTTTATGTTGTCTCCTCTCAAAGTTTTAGTCTTTATTTATATTTCTCTCTTTTATTTTTAAATTGTTGCAGTTACCTGTTGCCTACTTAATTTCACTGATAAATCTGATTGTTTTTGTTTGGTATTTTTTTAATGTTGTGTCCATAAAATTCCTGCGATAAAAATATCTAAATAAGTTAATTTTCTTACCTTTAAACACAAACGGTCCATTTTCTTGAAATAATCCAAACATAGATGTTGCACCTGGGCCACCTTGTAACCAAAGGATAACTGGATCATTTGTAGGATCGTTCTGAGACGGAAAGAACCAAAAGAACAAATTTGAGTTATAAGTTTCGTCAACCCGGAAATATCCAGCATAACTCTCAACTTCTGGCATAAAGTCAGTCACTTTAGCTTTCGCCTTGGCTTCTTTAATATCTCCATTTTTGATAAGATCTGTCAATATAAGCGGTTCTCCTGCGTCGCCAACCCTGATATTCGCGTCTAGTTTGCCATAGAAATCTTTGAATGGTGGCTTGTTAAAAAAATTCCTAAACCCCGATGAATCCACGGAGGTAGATGCTATTGTGAATAGCACAATATATAATAGAATATACATTTCTATTAAATATAAATAAATTGTATTTGATAAGAATACCTTTATATACTTGATTAAAACCTAAAAATTTGATTGACGACGACTTAATCTTTAAATTTAAATATCAATTTTATCGAAATTCAAATAAAACTCAATAATAAAAAAGAATTTTATCTAAAACAATGATTGATGATTCTTTAAAATCTAGGAAGTCATGTATCCTATATTTCTCCACATTACCATATCTGTTACACCTTGCAATCTTGGATATAGAAAAAATCCCTTTGAAGTGCAATACATACAATTGAAATTTTTTATTTTTTATATCTAGTTGTGGGTCCAAAGATCTAAAAATAATTAAAACTAATATAATATCATTTAAAAGTAATATGTTGAATAATTAATATCAGCCAGGCTGAGTAGCAATCAACCAGTCGCAACATAACTAATATATAGACTTAGACAAATATGCAAATTGTATATTTTACATATAATGCATAAAAAATGCAAAAATGTCAAATTTTACATATTTTTATAAAAGTGAGCATAAAGTGCATATAATTTGAAAATTTGGTGTTAACTATATAGTTTTATATTCAAACTTACAGATAGCATGAAAATGCCAATATTTAATTTTGTTTTATAATCACTTGCTATTCAAATGATTGTGTAGTAACGCAATCAACGATGGTAACTAATAAAAGATATCGGCTTATAGTTTAATCAACGGTAGTAACTAATAAAAGATAGCGGCTTATAGTTTTGTCACGTTTTAGGAATTAAGGGTTTGTGTAAACCAGTTTATGTCTCTAGGTAAAAATTTTTATTTTAAACCATACAAAGAGCTGTGGATATGGATAAAGTTTATTGCTCATGTTGTGGCAAAACCATAAATATTTTATTTTAAAAATTTACACGGTGGTACAAACAAATATTTTAAATCATGAATGTGTTGCTTGTGTGAGTCCATTTCAAATAGGTAAAGAAATAATAAATAAGACTTACTCACAATCAATTTAATTTAACTATTCAGACGACCGGTTTCGCTTTCTACAATATGCAAAGCATCTTCAGGTCTCGATACAAAGTTAAATAAATGCTGAAATAATAAAACCCATATTAGGGTGTTGTTTAATATAGATAAACAAATTAGATGTTATAAATTACAATAATTATGCCAATATTACAACTCGGCTGCACGACGGAATAGACGGCACCTTTACAGCCAGATCTGTAATTATATTACGTACGTAGTTTTCACGACCTCATGCCTCTTTTATTTTACATTCCTTCCTTGTCAGGCTAAACACACCTGCACCTTTAAGGACCCAATATTTTGTTTTCCCACAATACCGTCTCTGCATACCATTTTAAGTGCTTCTTATCGTTTTTAGGTAAGAACCCTTCTACAATTTTCCCCCAAATTTTCAGACTGCACAAGGCATCTCAATGTTTCGTTTACCGATTGAACTCGTCCGGGGGTGCCTTGTCCAAAGAAGGGGTGGTTTTTAGTTGGTAGGCGACTGGTCAGGGGTGCATGTGGCGCATATAATCCATATTTTGGATGCTATGTCCTAGCATGTGCTCCTTTCCGGATCGAATCCAACAGTACTAGGGACATCTTCCCTAGTCAGTTTAGAACCTTTCCACCTCAGTCCAAAAAAAATGTTACATGTCTATGGTTTTTCAAAATGAATAAAAAGGAATAAAAAGCTATAAAAGTTTTAACAGACAAGGTAAGAGGTGCAAATTGTTATAAAATAGTCTATTAGATTGTAATAAATTAATAAATGAGCAAATAAATAAAACATTACTTACATGCCGGTACTCTATTAATTGATGGATGGTAGAACATGGTTGAAACTATCATGTATTGTTGAATGGAGAACTTAAGTCTGCTATTGTAGTTGTTTGACAATAAAGGGAAGTTCTTGAGGAGATAGATTTGATCCAATGAAGTAGAGATAGGTGTAATGTGATTGTTTGTTAGATGAAAGTGATGTTATATACCATTGTATTATTTAAAAGTTATTTATACTTATTCAAGAGATATATTTATAAAATGTGTGTTATTTATTGAGTATTTGTTTTATGAAGGTGACAGTTTTATGACAATGAATAAGATTAGATGTACAAATTGTGTGGGTGTGCAATTCTTTCAACTTGTAATTATCAAATTTCTTTGATAAAGTTCTATTGGCAAAATGGTAGATTATTGCAAAGTCGAGTATATAAAATATTAAAGTATTAAAGTTAAAACCATTAAGGACAATTTAAACACACTAAAACAGAAAACACTTAGAAGGGACGAAACAAACATTAAATTTAAAAAGGGGAAGGACTTTTATGCACTACATCTCAGTCTTGGAGACAATGAGTTTTTATGTTATCTATTAGATTTTAGAGGTAAATTTGACAGATGTAGGTTAACATGTGACAGTTCTTCTTCTATTTCTCAATACTGCAAGTTAAGTTATCTAGTTTTATGAAATATGCTGATATTAATGAATGTCTCTAAATTGTTTAATTAAGATATCAAAAGTAAATTGATGTGTTTAATATTGGCTTACTTTAACAATCTTTAATTAATTAAATTTAAATGTAACAATACAAATAATTGAAATACATCCCCATTATAACTAACTTAGTTTAGTCCAAATTACAGAACAAATTACAGTGATTCTTTGGCAACTAAACATGTACATTTTGTAATCAAAACGTAACATAAATTTACAAAAATTTTATTTGAAAATATTGTTGGTATGCGTTATCTGTCATTTAAAAATATTTATGCACACCATGATATTGGCATAATTATTGTAATTTATAACATCTAATTTGTTTATCTATATTAGACAACACCCTAATATGGGTTTTTATATTTCAGCGTTTATTTAACGTTGTATCGAGACCTGAAGATGCTTTGCATATTGTAGAAAGCGAACTGAATAGTTAAATTAAATTGATTGTGAGTAAGTCTTATTTATTATTTCTTTACCTAAATATTTTAAAATTGTAGAATATGTATAAGAAAAGTACCGACACAAGGCTAGTTTGCAATAAATCGATGTATTTTTTTTTCAAGCATTCTTTATACTCATTGCGACAAAAAATAGGATACCTATTTAAAATTCAAATCATTCAATAGTCTACTAAAAGGTCGTTAACTTTTTTGTTTCCAACAACAGCATAGTTTGCTTTAATTTTGCTAAAAACAAAAACATATCATATATTGTATTTAATTAATTAAGTGCTTTTGATTTATGCTCACAGTGTTTTTTCTTTAAATGTAAAGAGAAAAGACCAAGAGCCTTTGTAAATATTTGGAGGTTCTTTTTACTTGCACAGTCATTTTTTGACATTTTCAGATTACTACACCGATTTTTATTTAATTTAATTTAAATATTTTAATTGTTATGCAAAAACGGTTCATTTTCAGTTTATTTCTACAATCTTAGATTTTAAAAATGGGTACCTATACCCTATAAAAACTATAAAATATTTTTTTTTTAAGATTTCATCTGAAAAAAATTTCAAATAGTCCAGTATGTTAGAACCGCGAAAAATTTAGCTAAAAAAGTAAAAACCACATCCGGTGAAAAATATCAACCTTCAGTGTCCAAGTACTTTCAGTCAAGTTCCAAAAACAAGAAGAACAAGAAACTTTCAAACAAGACTTGTGTCGTGCATTAGTATCTTCTAATATACCGCTTTCAAAATTATCTAATAAAAACTTTTTTTTTTAAATATTGCAAACAAAACATTACCAGTGAACAAACTCTAAAGAGAAATAATGTCAATTTGTTATACTCCTCAGTTATCCACAACATAAAAGCCGAAATAGGTAATAATTACTTTTACATATGTGTGGACGAGACCACTGACTCGTCAGGAAGATACATTGTGCACTTATTGATTGGTGTACTTAGCGATAAAACCTTTCCAAAATCGTATTTAATTTCCTGTAAGCAAGTGGAAAAAACCAACGCTCTAACAATATCACGGTTTTTACAAGAAGCATTAGCAAACTTTTTTCTTCCTGCTGCTATGCCTAATGATAAATTATTGCTTATTTTATCTGATGCCGCACCATATATGGTAAAAGCAGGACAAAATTTAAAAATATTTTTTCTAAGTTAATACATGTCACTTGTTTAGCGCATGAAATAAACAGAGTTGCGGAGGAAGTAAGAAAAAAATTTCCACTAGTTAACAGTTTAATAGCGAGCATCAAAAAGGTATTTCTGAAATCATCTGTAAGAATACAATGTTACAGAGATATGCTTCCTGCTGTTCCACTGCCACCGCAACCCATTTTAACAAGTTGGGGAACATGGATTTTGTTGATTTAAAAAAAATATTTAAACTTTTAACGGATGATAGTTGCCAATATTTATTGAAAGCTAAGCACTCCTTCCAAAATAAAATCCTCCAATAGCAACTGTCATTCATACAATCAAATTATACTTTTGTCCAGAAAACTATAACTCAATTAGAATCCTCCAAATTATCATTGTTAGAGAGTACAGTTTTAATAATAGAATTTGAGTCATTGTCTCAAAACGTTATAGGTATTCCTCTCTCCTCAGTCGTTTCCTCATTGCTGAGTGTCGTGATTCCCTATAATACGAGCCACTATCTCTTTCCATCGGCTTCTGTCCTGAGCTTCCCTCATGGATTCTGAAAATGTTTTTCCACTGGCTTTCTGTACCTGATCCGTCCATCGAATAGGTGAGCGACCTCTACTTCTGCGCCCTTCAACGTTTCCCGAAATTATAAGTCTCTCAAGATTATCATCACTTCTTCTTGCAATATGGCCGAAAAATTTTAAGACGGTGGAGAGGCAAATAGACGAAAGTCGAGTCTGAATATTAAGCTCTTGGAGGATTGAGTGATTTGTTCTGTGTTCCGTCCATGAGATCCGAAGCATTCTTCTCCAGCACCACATTTCAAAAGCGTCAATCCTTTTTCTGTCGTCCGATTTGATTGTCCATGTTTCGGATCCGTAACTAAATATGGGAAAAATTAATGCACGTACTAATCTTATTTTGGTGTTCTTCGACAAGGCGCGATCTTTCCAGATTTTTGATAATCGACTCATAGCGTTTTTAGCCATGCCTATTCTCCTACGTATTTCTGTTTCACAAGATCCTGTATTATTGATGTAGGATCCTAGATAATTGAACTCGTTAACCACTTCAAACTGGTCCAAGGCTCCTGTTGTCTGAAGTGAATTTGAATAGTCTACTATCATAATTTTTGTTTTTTGTTTATTGATCTTGAGACCACATCTATTGCTTTCGACTTCCACTAGCTGCAGCAGGCTGGACATTTCTTCTTCGGATGCAGTTATTAATGTTGTATCATCTGCATATCTGAGATTTGAGATCTTTTTTCCTGCTATAGAAATACCGCCATTCCATTTGTCGAGTGCTTTTATAGGTATTATTAGAAAGGAAATTTTTCGAAAATTTAAGGTAACCATGGAAAAAAATAGTGGTTACCAGGTTCTTTCTGAATTGGTTCAAGTACTACCTGGGACATTTTCCGAACCACTTAATTTAGAACCATCTATTATAGTAAATTTGAAAAATGCCGTAGTTACATCAGTTGATGTCAAAAGAAGTTTTTCTACTTACAAATATATGTATTCAGATAGAAGCCATAAGTTTTTATTAGAAAATTTTGAAAATAACTTGATAAT